ATATATAGTGCGCTATGACAGTTCACCATCCATCCATGATTGAGCCGACCAAACACGTGGAGAGAGCAACATAGAGCAACTAGGATCAAACGGAGAATGCTTGCGCAAATCGTGCGGTACCTGTGCGGCGTACAGTCGTGACACAACACACACACACACACACAGAGCCACAAAGTTTTGTCGATGCACCTTGTTCAATTCCCTTACTCCATTATGTAGCAACACTGAGGCCGTGCTGCAAACAGCCATCTTCGAAGATCACAATGGTCGAGCCCCTGGTCATCATGCAAGCTAGGTTTCGCTTGAATCCCTTTGTCCAGCCTTCCCTCTTCACCTGAAGCGGCATGCAGCGTGTTCAGAACTTTGATTGGTCAGTCAGTCATGACCCCCTCTCCGCTAGCAACTTGGACAAGGACAGAGGACGTGATCCGCTCAGCAATCTTAACATCGCTACTCCCCTTAAGGTTCGGCAACTGAAGCTTCAATGGATGATTGTCCGCATATCGGCAGCAAACTCGGCAGCAATTAAAGCACGTTGCAGAACCTGGGAGTATCACTGATGGCGAACAAATCGCAAAGATGGAAGCATGTGTCTTAGTTCCTCCCCCTCTGAGATGCCTCACCTCAGTTTGAAAAGGTCGCCGTCGTGTCCATTCAGTGCACTCCATTGGATTGTCGCTCCTCAAGGCCTGCCATGTGGGCAGGACGGGTAAGGAATATTTACGGAATGTGTACACCATTGAACAATTACACACAATTACAATTCTTTACTTCTTTCATATTTTTTCTGCGTCTGCTGCGCTGGATCAGTCTTCGTGAAGGAGTTTCTCCGTCGTGCTCATTCACCCACTGCCACTCCCCCCCGGCGTGCCGGTGCCATGGCATCGGCTGCAGACTCCTCTTGAAGCCGCGGTGATCCAGGCTGTTGTGAGCTCTCTGCCTTAAAGAAGTAGTAGAACACTCTTTCATCTTCGCTCTTGCGCTCCAGCATATATGTTGATGGCTCCTTATGGAGAGTGCGGAGTGCTTGGCCACATCAACGCTGCAAGACAAAGGCGTGTAGTGGAAGAGACTCTAGGCTGTACTTGACCAACAACAAACAATAGGAAATGCCTCCCAAACAAACAACATCACCGGTTTACGTGACGGCCTTAGCCTTGAAGGGTTCAAGATTCCCCTGTCCAAATGATGCACCGGTGCTGTTGAGATGACAGGCTTCTGCGCCACTGTCCACCACAATGAGCTCCGCTGGCTCGTATGTTTGACGTCGGAAGGTCTCATAGAGGAGTGGGTGAAACGCATGCCTTGTCGACAAGTGCTTGGGATATCTTGAGTCACTTCACTTCAACAAATGCATATCATAAACTTGATGCCGATTGAACCATTCACTGGTCGCAGGTCATATTTCAGATTTCTTCCTCCAAAGTTTCCTATCTAGTTGCAGCACCTGCTTTGGAAATGCAAGTCAAGTCTCCAAGCACTGGTCGTGGCTGAAAAACACACCGCCGTGAAGACTTCTTCAACGGACCGCTTACAATGTAGAGCATCCAATTAGGCAATGCCAAATTACATAAATGTTCTCAGTGCTCAATGTCTGGAAGAAAATCCGATGCAATCGCGCCTGCCCTGGCTTGTAACGGCAATGACAGAGATCAGCTTGGTGTCACCCACAAAGCGTTCTTCAGGGCGGTGAGAAAGTGTTGTAACACGTATGAACACATGTGCAAGAAGGCTGCATGTTTGCTCGGCGGTTCCGTGCGGTCCTTCCCTGTACTCCTCAACTTGGCTTCCTGCACAGTGTCAAAGGAAAGAACGATTGAACATTCTTTATGAAGGACTTTCGGAGACGAAGCCGCTCAGATCACACCGAAATCGTCGCTTCTGCCGAGGTGCCCAGGTCGAAGGCAGAACCTGACAGGGCCCACAGCACAGCTGCACAAGGCTCCCAGCTTTGAGCTTGAGCTGGCAGCCCTGGAGATCGAAACAGAGAGAGAGCACATCAAATATCGCAACATGTGCTTTTGATTGGACATCTTTGGAATCTTCTTAAGCCATCTTAAGCCTGTTCAAGACCCTGTTTGGCAAAATGCCCAGTGCTAACATATATGCTAATTATTTCCCTTTTGTTCCGCAGGAGGCCGTTTCAGTTGCTTGCATCATGATAGATCATGAGATATACTATCCATGGGTTGACCGTCAGAAACATTCCTTCCCTGGCTTTCCGGGTGTCCTGTGGAGGCTTTCCGGCTGGTGTTCATTCGACGCAACCAGGCCAAAGCAGCGTCATACCTCAAGCAAAAGCAGCCTCAATGCCTATAATAGATATTTAATGTCAATGGCTTGCAAATTCAGGGAGCAATTCTGTAGAGGTTGTCTATTTTTAACTTCTTCCGCGCAAGATGGAATCAACATTCTCATAACTTCTACAGTACAAAATGTTGCTACCACTTTCGATGTTCGTTGAGACATGTTGGGACACCGGTTTGCAATCACACTTGGCGTGACAAGAGAGGCACCAACGGCTCAGATCTCCGTGATCTTCTGCTGGTCGCCCACACCGATGGCAAGGAGCAGCATGGTTTGAGCATGCTGGACGACGGCCATCCAAGGTGATTGGCCTCTTTTACCGAACAAAGGGGAAAACACATGCGGAAGAAACCATATATATATACGTGTGTGTTTAGGATCTATATATATATGTGTGTGTGTGTGCGTGTGTATATATATATATAGCTACAGTAATGTTATTACGGACAGGACTGCCTCAGCATGAGAAAGGACATTCATCTACAAGCACCCTGGTCTATATTCATGGTCTAGCTATATATCATTATCTATCTATCTACCTATCTACCTATCTATCTATCTATCTATTGATCGATCGATCTATAGGCCGGCAAGGTTTGTGGATTTTGCCCACACGATTGATTGTGCCTTGCCACTGGCGGCTGGTAGCAGTCGCAGCCATAGGCTCTGCAAGACCCCCTGGGCACTCCCGCATCGTCAAAGTGCAGCAGCTGGGATGCAGCCAATTCCCACGTCATGGCGGCTGTGCCCCATTCTACGGTTGTGTGCGGCGTACTTCGCAAGTCTTGATCTTGGGCTCGTATTCTTGGACTGCTCTCCAAATATGGCTTGTGACATGCCATCTGCTGATGCCTGCCCCATTTCAGCTCTTGGTGAAAACTGCAAGCAGCATGCCTGCAAAACCCTCCGGTGAATCAAACAACGCTTGGGTGATTTGACACTCAGCTCTTGCACCTTCTTCACAACACGTGTGCCGTCACTGCCATTGCTACATTACCCTTGTTTTTGTTCCTCATCCTTGGGCTTGGGCCCAAAAGCTTCTTTAGTATGTGACGGCCTGATTTCTTCCACCAGACCTGGCTAGCCACTCTTACAACCCTAAGTCCCATTCTCGTCATCCACCCTTCCTCTCCCTGGCAGTGTGCAAAAATGCCCCGCGCACCCCCAAGTAGCACAGGTTGCCGCCACGGGAGAAGCTCACCAAGCGGCCGTCTGTGGTGCCTTCGCAAACCTGCAACTATTCCACTGACCATGACCATTGAAACGTCACTGGCCACGTGTCTTTTGCAACGTGTGGGTTGACAAATGTTGAGCATGTGGAAACATGTAGAAGGTGGTCCCGAGGTGTGGGAATTCTTGCTTAATAGGCCAGGTGTAAGTGTAAGAATTTTTTTTGGAGTTATGTTGCAAGCACCCCACCCTACCAGTACATCTCAGCTGCATTTCCAAGCAAAACTAAGACCCCCCCTACTTTTGGCTGACCTGCTCACCCAACAGCTGCTGAGTCTGCTCAAAGTCAGCCGGTTCCAGAGCATGCGCTATGACGTGGCACTTGAAGACTTGTCATTCTGTCCTTCTACACTTGAACCATGTGACCGTGAGGCTGATATGCAGCCACACTACCCAATCAACAGCAACCGGACCTTTCAGCACTGTTTCGGTCTGCTTCGTTGCCGCCTGAGAAGTGGGGAACAAGTCATCCACCACCAGGTCCAGCCACCTGAGTGGCATGGTCGAATCCATCGGTCAAGCAGACTGCGTCATGGCCGCGTCGAACGACGCAGGTCCGAACTCCGGAGTCAAACAGTGACCCAAAGGCACTAGGAGCTTGCACATGAAGTTGCAAACCGTTCACCGGTTTCTGAGTTTCCAACTGCCCGGCATGGCATAAGCGCAAGTGGTACACGCCGTTGGGGTTGAGTTCCTGACATGTTTCAAGCGTTCTCTCCTGCGTCGACCCTGCACAAAGATTGCTCGCTGGAAAGGCGAACCGCACACAGCGAGGCAAAACCTAGGAGTGACTTCTGACTGTTGTAAATCACAACGTTCAAACTAAGCAAACATCACCCTTGTCACACTCGCTGCTGAAAGAGATGGAACCTCTTGATAAATCCTCGGGGGGCACACTGATACATTGTGTTACACTGCTGATGCTTGTATGGATAAACCTCTAGTCCAGAATGCTTTCTCCATGCTCGAAGGAAATAAACAGGGGCTAACTGCCAACACTCTTCACCACATACGCTTGCCGAACCTCCGAGGTTTCAAAAGTTGTCTTCTCTCAGAAGTTCAAAGCGATAAGGATGCAAAAAAGGCCTGATGGCCCAGTAGCGTCCTTGCTCCTAGTAGCGATCCCCTTTGCTCCTAGTAGCGTCCCTGGCTAGTTATGGCCCAGTTGTCAAGGGAGAACTCTGGGCTGCGATGCGCTCTGTTTCTTTCTCACTCGAAACTGCGCGCTGAAGCAGCGGGTCAGCTGCCCGACCTTTGTGGTGGATCTGGTGGATCAGTCACACATCCGGAATTTCAGGGAACTCTCTGAAACTACTCACCTAGATGACTAGATGTGCAAAAGGGCTGCAGTGGCTGCAGGCCATTGTAGAAGTTGTCTGGAATCCCCAGCTATTTTGGGTTGCACCGTGCACCTGATTCTGACACGCAGTACCTCCTTTTTGGCCCAAACTTTCGGGCTTCTCTCACATTAAAGAGCAGTCCGCAGCAGTTTGTGAGTTCGCTGTACAGCCATAATGCCAAGGTTGCCAGGGGCGGCCGCAAACCCAGCACCAGTGCATGCCACACTGAGTGCAGGTCATATGGTTGCAGCCCATCGAACGTAAGGTGCGCACTTGACAACCTGGGCAGGCCTTTGCACCTGCCCAGTGCCGCTCTTTGGACTTGTGGCTCTGCGGCAATGCAGAATCGAATTCTAAACACGACTTGCCATCATGGCTTTGGCCTGAGACTTCCCATGTTTGGCTGCAAAGCAGGCAATAATCCACCTGACGAGCAAGGGCAGCGAACCAGGTGACATCCTGCTACTTAGTAATCCCGAGTATACTATTTAAAAACGGACCCCTATTTAAAAAAGACCTTAAATATGGTTTATATTATTTTATATTCGTTCTTAAATTACCACCCATAAAAGCCGCTACTAAACTACCAACATTGCCCATTTTGGAGGATTCTTTAAATTAGGTTCCCCCCCCCCAAAAAAAAGGTAACTGCCCACCTCTGTCCGCCCTGTCTATCCACCCCTGGGTGACTTTTTGATTTTGAAGCTCTTCCCAGGTGACCCTATTTTGGACCCCCCGATTTCAGGGACCCCCTATTTAAAAAAATGCGACCGAGGTTGCCTTATTAGGGGGGGGCGTGTTTTAGGTGGACAGGATTATGCAACCTTTTGGTCTTCGTGCACTGCGACATGCTGCAGCCAGTGCAGAATACTTCACAAAAGGCCTTGGGTATCCTTCGGCCCTTCCGGTGTCTTGGGTTTGAAGTGGTATCTGAGTCCTAAGCATCATTTTAACACCGAGGTGCTACTGAACAAAACTCTCAAGCTGCGAACTATTGCCACCGAGAGCGGGAGGAGGATTTCTGCTGAAAACTGCTACAGCCATCTATGTCCCGCCTGGCAACTGGGGCAATGAACGCATCGTAAATCGTCCCCATCATTCCTCGAACATCCAAATCAGCTGCAAACTACCACAACATGAAACTTGTATCTGCCCTCTTTGTCTTTTGAGTCTTACAAAGAAACCATAGTCCAAGTGCGCAACATATGCTCCAAAGAGGTGCAGCTCCTGGTGCACCATCCCATCTGCATCAAAATGGATTTACATTGATTATTGTAGGCCTTTAAGTCAGTGATCCAAGCACCGGTGATCACCGGTGTTGGTGTTTTGGAGTTTGGGCGAGCTCACGTGTTCACACCACTCGAAGGCCAAGCTTCAAAGGTGCCACGTAGAAGCCCATGTGACGCCCCACAGACCATGATCGAGGATCCCAACGGCTTCCAGGCTCCTAGGACTGGTGGCCGCTGGCACAAGCCCCAAACGAAAGACTGATGAACAACAGGATGTTGAACATTGGAGTTACCAGAAAGGGTGCAAACATGTGCACACTGCGTATACCCTAGGCTTCAAACACCAAACCATGTGGTCAATGATGTGGACGCCAAAATGTTGACAAACAAAGAGAAACATCACTTGAACCATTTAACTCTACATCTTGAAGCACATACAGTATGCACAAAACTGCATATCTAGGTGCTAGTGATACAAAAGCAACGTATATACCGTATATAAGTAAATTGAAAGTGGCCTAGTGGCCTAGTATCTCCAAGTTATAGTAATTGTATAACGGACAACATTATACATATATAAATCATGAAGCTACTCTCAATCTGGTGGCACATTGAACAACATGCATCGAAGTGCCTGCGACGCTTTCGAGCGCCGCAACCGCTTGGGAAGCAGCCACATGTGGTTGCCTTGGTCCACGCTGCTGAGATTTTCTGACCCAGCAAGGAAAGCTAGTCAGTTTCAGGGGATTTATAATGCAATATAATGTATAGTGCCAAGGCCCCTGTCTAACTGCACAGTAACCATAGCTTACATGTTATATACATGTTGTCCACGGGCATTGTGCGAGGAAACATGTCCAAAGCCATCCGAGGCTTGCAGTCACCAAATGAGGTGCGAATCAGATTACGATTCTATACCGACCCAGAAAAGCCCCGGACAAATAACCAGGTCTTGACGTGGGCCTTTGCTTTTGCAATTCACTCAGCTTGCAGTGCTTAGGACTTTTCCATTGATACTGACGATCTGGTAGCCGAGTGGCATTCGCTGCCTGGGCAGTGCACTACATCCTCCATACGTGCCGCACAGCTGCTGGCTAGCCCGCTTGAGAGAGACCAACGCTCATAGGCCTTCTGCTTGCGACTGGTTCTCTGTCCCAACACGTCCAGGCCAGACCAGGACCATTGGTATCGACGAAAAGCGGTATGCACCTGAATGTCAGAACAGTCAGACTATGGGACCACCCAAATGTCGTCTCGTTACGTCTCGTTGTTTACAAAAATATCAAATGCCGTCACTAATAGATATAGGGCAAACATGCATTTTGAAGCCAAGATGCCAAGACATCAGGGACTGGGACTTTGCAAAACAACGGGCAATTCATATCAGGCCGTGCATCATCAATAACGCTTTCCGCATGACGTCGCAAGCAAGCCCAACACAAGCTCTGATTGCAGCAGGGCAGGCTGACCATTGACCATGGATTGTCTTCCAGAGTCTCCGCACAAACTGGACATTCACACACCTAGGATCCAAAATGATCCAAACCATCCACGGTGAAGTGAACATGAAAAATTGTACACTGTAATGACCCCAAGATCTTGAAGGTTCATTCAAAAAATAACTTAGCATGCAATCGTCTCATCTCTTTGGTGGATGACCTTTGTGCTCCAACTTGATGTTGACAATTGTTTGCATATTCGCGCCGTGCCGTGAGAAACTGTGGAACCAACGACAACATACCAAGCAAACCAATGACCAAGATAGAATTGCAGCAGTCACCAATTTACTAGGAACATCTAGGAACGGTTTGCAATACTCTGTTGATAAAATCACTTTTCTGTCAATATTGTGTTCACTGTGATAGTATGAAGTGAACCACCGAGAGGATCGATTTGACTGCCAAACTTGGCCTCATGCTCACAGCGAGGTGCTTCCACCGCGGCCACGCTGCAGCCAAGTGCTGACAGGAGTTGCCTGGACAAGCCCCACCTAGCAGCCAAAGGTGATCAAACTGACGAGCGCATCACATACCTGGAATTTGCCTGCTTGGTGGTTTGGAAGCTTGGGGTTAGGCTGCTACAGGAATTTCTTTCAGGTGCCCGTGAAGTCTCAGCAGCACAAGCCAATGGAAGTTGCAAGAATGCACCAACACGCGCTCAGAATGCATATATATATATATTATATTATATAGTGTGTATCGCCGAGTCGTGCAGGTGTGGGGGTGAACCGTGTGAACATGGTGTGCAGGTATAAGCAAATGTGAAGAGCGAAGGTCAATTGAACTTCATCAGCTCAGGCACTGTTGAAGGAAGTCCAGCCACTCCCGGCGTAGCGTTGCGCTATCCAAGAGGCGGCGGAGGTATAGCCCAGCGATGAGGACCTGAGGTGCATTTCGTGCCGAAGTGAATTTTCAAAATATAAAATACCAAGAGCCAGCCCATCCACCTGAAAGGCCTTCTACGCTTTCAGCTTCAGGCTCGCTTAGATGCCCTGATGTAAGCATCACAAATGACCCTGCAATCACAACAACTATGGCCCAGCCCCCCCAGGAAGTGCATATTGGGTCACAAACGACCATGTCTACGTCTACGTATATCTTTTAGCGTGCAAACCGGTTTCTACTGGTTGGTTCTGCATGCAGCGAAAGGCACGGTAAACAATGGCATTGCATCCTGCACAATCTGCCGCGCACTGAAAATGAGCGCCACTAACAAGGACACGATGAATTGGCTAAGGTCCCAAATGGCGCGGACTGATACCTCAGTTCTTTGCCGAGCTTGGGAGACTTGACCAGAAGAACATGCCGCTATTATTCTTACCCTTACTCTCTGTCTCTGTCTTAACTTGGAACAGGATGCAAGACTACATTGATACGTTGATACATGCATGCGCATGCAAATTGCAATAGAACGTCTCATGTATCATGCAATTGCGAGTGCTGCGAGGGTGGTAATTGTAAGTCTGCGAGAAAACGATCACAAACAGAATGTGCACTGTTTTCATGTATAGCCGCCCATAATGCATGGTCGTGTATGTGCATGGTACTCCTGATGGTATAATTGGTATAGCAGTGGAGTACGCCATGGAGAAGCATGGTAGTGACTTAGTGGCACACCTCTCGTGCATTTCCAGCGTTCTGACAACTTTTGGTTGCCCATGCTTGCCCCAATTCTTGCACTACATTGGTATATAGTATATGGTATGATCTTCCGAATTTCCCCAGTTTCTTTCGTGCATGAGCGGTGTGATGCCAAATGTTCCCACGGCCCAACGGATGCCTTGGATTTCTATCGAGGTCCCTCGGTGACTGCCAGGATGCGTAGCCAGCCCATGCACTCAGAAAAATCCCGATCACGGCGCTCATCCGCTCCAGGACCTGCAGGTGCGCACGCTGCCCATGCGCATCGGCTGCTAGCTCAAGCCGTTCAATGAGTCGAAGAGCTCGGAGCCTCGAATCGATAAACATCAAAGAACGATTTGACATGATTGGATTCAATACGGTCAAGAAAATCACATGCTTTGTCATGGTTGTTGGAGTGCGGAGGGCGGAATGATGAACATGTTTATATTAATATTATAAGGTATCTATGGACTATGATTGTGTATCAAATGCATTTGTACATATATATATATATATAAATGCACGTGTTTGGGCTAGGGATGCTAAAGGCCCTACAAATATCATAGAATATCATAGAAAGCATCACTCACAGGCTCAGGAGTGACCGTCCAAACGCCAAGCCGAGCCCGATTGCACAATCCGATGCAAGCAAGCATATACTTCTTATATACTCATTTAGTTATTCAGCAGAGTTGTTCATGACTCAAGGCCATTTTTCAATTCTCAATGTTCCTTCGAATGGGTTAAAATACATATATATATATATATATGTGTGTGTGTGCTCACTCCATCAGTTAAGTCCACAACATTATGAGATCCTTCTCTGCTACCTCCTGTGCGGTGCATTGAGCATGTTTTTTTGTCCAGGAGTCCTCCCGAGAGCTACAAAGTGCTCCACCACGTGTGCAGCGTAGCCCGGCCATGGCAAGTCCATGGTGCGCACCTTTGGTGCTGTGCATATGGCCGAAAAAGGGGCTGCTGTACCTTGAGAAACACGTAGTCAGAAGGGTGCAGTGCCAAGGAAAGACATCACTGCGTGGCACCCCCAAAAAGAACGCAAACCTGTCGTTGATTTGGACAAAAACTTTGACAAATACGATAACAACCCAAGTTGCCAAGGGCAATGCGGTCGCCACAGTACAAACATAAACCAAACCATGAACAGAACATGAACAAAATAGGAGCATGACCAAGTGAATGTTCTTATATATGCTTTGATTCTCTTTCCATGTCTCTGACCATGATCCATGGTCTCTGACCGGGAGTCCGGACTGATCCGCGACATCTCACTGCTGTCGGCAGTTCTCTCGGCATTGCTCAACATCTGGCACTGCTGCCTTTTCAAGGTGACGTTCGGTCGCACGATTCTCCCAAGAAATAGGGGCCCACCATGGCCCACCACCACTCGCATCATCTCGCATCCAACCATATCCAACCCATCCAGAGCTTATCAACATCACAAGGCTCATGCTGCAAGCAAACCAAGTCATGCATGCAAAATCATATTCTGAGCAGGCATGGTTCAAAGCGGGTCCAATCGATCTGGAAAAGTCTCCATGCAACTAGGCTGAACTGCTGGAAGGATGGATCCTGGCCTCCGTACAAGCATCAAGCCTTCGCTTCGCATAGTCCAAGAGGTTCGACCTAAATTGGAACTGTGAAACTGAGGAAGTCGGTAGCACGTGCACTCAAACAATGCTCGAAGCTGTTGATGGGGACGGGCCCTGTTGACTACATTCTGCCAAGATCGGCACCCCTTGTAGAACCAAAAGGAATGCAAAGGGAATGACACACGGAGCCCGAATGACACGGAGCCCAATCATTGAAAAATCACAAAATGACAAAGACAATCGCACGGGGAAGAATCAGAATTGAAAAGGAATTAAAGGAGTTCAATGAGGGAACATCTAAATCACACGGTGAAAAAAGAAGCAAGAACCATCAGGCATCGGTAGACAAATGTCAAGTGCAGTGGTATCAGTGAAGGAGAGGACAAAAGCCAACAAAGTAGTTGAAATGCGTGTATAATTTGTATTGCAAGGGTCAGCCAACCCAGATTTAAATAGCTGGGGCGGGTGTTGATCCTGTACCTCCATGGTCACTAAACGTTACAGCTCGTCAGCTCTACCGGGGCCTGTCAACCCAAGGAATCCTCACGAGTTCTTACCGAAGCCCTGAGAGAGGGCCGGACACCTCATGGCGCATGGCGTTCGGCAGCACAACCCCATCCTTCCCACCGGAAGCTCTGCCTCACCAGGCGTGACCCATGACATACACATCATGGCCTTTGTCAACATATGTGAACTAAAGGTGAACAAGAAGCACCTGTTGGATCCTTTTGGACCTCTGAACAGAACCCCCGTATTCTTAAATGGCTGGAGCACATCCTCCGGTGTCGGACACTGATGAGGAGCACGAAGGCAGTGGCACCGGTGGCTGAGCACATTAATCATTAATCATAGCACGTGACGTTTAATAGACAAACAATAACAAACATTCAAGGATATATATATATATAGGGAGAGAGAGATTGCGCATAGTTTTATCTAAACGTCTGGGTGAATGGGTCAAAAGACTCAAGAGCAGAGAAGTGTGACCCTTTGTTACCCTTTCAACATCTTTCAACATGTCCATGTCTGTTCTCTTCCATTTCGGCATCATCTGTTTTGATCTTTGCGAATGCCGTGAGAACCCTCTTTCAGTTTCAACAGAGGGAGTGAAAAGAAGCGCCTGCCAGGACCACTTCTAAGTGGCTAATCGCCTCCTTGGCTCGGCTGGCACTGGGCGCCATGCCCAGCACCGCACAGCCTATGGCCATCGGGTTGGGCGAAATCATGGTGCACCCTGAGGGAAACCATCAAGAAGGGCCAGAGGGGGAAAAGAAGAACATGAAACAAGGGACTGAGATGGAGCATCACAGGATGCTCAAGCGCCTGAAAGAATGAAGAAATACATAGAAAAACGTCACCGACCCGGGGGGGCTTCTCGTGCCTCCCCCACAGCACAGAAGACAAACGGTAAACAGTAATTTGAGGCAATTTGTCTAGCCATCCTAGATGAAACCTTTGATCAATGCAACCACGTTCATAACATCAAATCGACCAAAGCCTCGACGATAGTAGGCTTTTCCACTCGTCGGATCCTTGAAAAATGGCAGCGAAGAGCGAACAGCTGGTGGCATGCGCCGTCGAACGAACGAACTATGACCCGACAGACTGAACGAAATGGAGTTCACATCGGGACAAGGATTCACTTGGACAGGTTGAGATCAACAAGCTTTTTTTTTGGGCAAACCCAATGTCTGCTACAAGTAGATCTGAATTGTTCAAGATAGGCGACAAGAAGTAGATGGACTGTAGATGGATTGTATGATGGTTTCTACCAAGACACAAGGAAATCACAAGGAAGACAAGGATATCCTGGATATCCTTTATGGTCTCCGTTCACAAGCACCCTCTCCCGCGGTTTCCACCTGAGTGCCGAACCATCTCAATGGCCTTGGCTGCGTCCATGTTCGCCCGCATGGCGTAGTTCCGAGCCTCCTGACCGATGGAGGCGTCCTGCACATCGCTGCCCCCGAATCCCTGTGGCAGGCAGTTCGTGACACGTGCTTTTTCTGGGTCTGAGGAGGGTTCACAAGGATTCCCGATTTCCCCACCTGTCCATGTTGTAAGTGTGAATGTGTGACCGTTTCCTCAACATCCCTGAGCACCTGATCCTAGCACACATGAGTAAATTTGAGAGACACCCAGGGCAAAGGCAGGGCAAAGGCATCCTGCCAATGTGGAGTGCAGCCAGTGGGCAGTCCTCACCATGGATCTCACGGCAAAGCATGATGAAGCACTGCGCGCGGTTGTTCAGAAGCACCTGGCAGGAACTGGCTTGGGTCTGGTAGAAACCGGATGCAAAAGGTCCTGCTGAAGCATGTCAAAATAGTCTTGTTGACCTCGACCTCCAAGGCTTGGTCTCAAGATGACATTCTAGATTTACACATACACATATCATATATACGGGAAAGGCCATCCACACGGCGCAGATTCCAGCCAGTTGTGGCCACTGATTCTGATACGGGAACGGGAATCCACGTCAATTGAGCCCAAGGACAGCCGCGTACTTCGGGTCTTCAACTTCAGGCGGAAGGCCTTGGAAAACGGACGGAGATCGAGAAGGAGCTGCATAAGATCCACATCAATCCACTATGTTTATTGTGTATATATATATACAACTATATATAACCGTAAATATATATATATATATACTATATAATATTTATTGTCTGAATTACGTGTATTTACCTATGGCCTATTGGAATGCTTGATTCTAGCGAGACATGGTGAGAATGGACTATAGTTAGACTCGGGCCATCTCGGACCCATCAATTTCCATAACTTGCCGCTCGTCATCGGCCATGAACCAAGGGCCCTGCTTCCTTCGGCAGCATCCTGGAGAGCGAGATGGGGTGTCAGTGTCACCGACGGATGCTCGGGTAAGCTTCAAAGGTAACCTTGTCTGCCCCTACCAGTTTGGCACTAGATTGGGGTTCAGCTCTCAGGGCATCTGGAGGTCAACTGTCGAAACGGTATGATATGTTGAATTTGACCTGCCATTCAATTGCACAAATCAACTGCCCAGTTCTTGCTTCCGTTGGAATGCATGGACGTCACCTCCAAGAGGTCTATCGCCGCGGAGTAGCAGGCAATCGCCTGTTGCACGGAAGAGCAGACTTAGCACTCATGCAGCGGCATGTAGGAAGGCAAGAGCTGTGCAAATAAGGTGGCAGTGCAAGAAACATCCGTGCTTCATGATAGGCATAATATTCAAGACATTAGCCATAAAAGATTGTGAATGGCCAACCCAAGAAGTCAACTAATGGACACACACACACACATCAAATGCAAATATAGTTTGATTCAGCCTGTCGCTTGTGGGGGGATTGTATATACACCATGTCAGTGGAGTACTGAGTACGGCCAAAATGTAGATTGGCTAAGCCGGTTCACATGAGTTGTTTTGCTAAGGGGTACCCTTTCGCAATCAATGTTTACCGGTTTACCGCGGGTTGTCAAAACAATTGGCGCCCCCAGTATAAAAGGTAAAAAACTTAAACACAAACAATGTTCTTTTTTTACAGTCTTTTTTACCGCGCGGGCTTTAAACACATTTAGGCGACCCCCCGCTATAAACGCAAAAACAAATGATGTGTACTGTTCTACCGCACGGGTGGTTAAAAAAGAATCCGGCGAACCCCCGGGAAACATTGAAAAGACACGATGTCTACCGTTTTTACTGCGCGGGTGGCCAAAAGAACAAGGCGACCCCCCCGCAAAACACAGGAAATAAACGAAACAACAAATTATCGTTTATACCGCGCGGGTGGTAAAAAGGACATGGCGCCCCCCCCGGGAAACACGGCAAAAAATAACACTTTCGGGTATAGACTCAAAGCAAAACCGGCTTCCCGAAAACAATAAACCTTAACATAGTCCTTTTCATGTAACAATCAAGGCCGCACCTTACTATCGCACAAATAAACATTTCAAGGATTAAGCCGAGGTACCCCGGCCCGTGGTTTAAAAAACAGCAATTACGGTAACAAAATCTATTCCCCCCCGAAAAGAACACTCGAGCAAGACCGTCAAAAAAACACGTGGTCTGCAAAAAACAGGCAAACCACTTGAACACCATCACAAAAAAGATCGCGCTAATCTTCAAAAACACATGGGAACAACTAGACATGGCACCGCGCATATTGTATGAAATCTAGATACCTACCCGATTATTTGTTTTTTAAACACACACACATACATATATATATATATACATTACACCTACTACCCGAGCCAAACATAGAAATCAAAAAGAACACATTGACTGCTTTTACCGCTCGGTGGGTTTTCCGTGCATCTACTTTCGTTCTCAACTTGGGCTTTGTAGGGACCTCTCCATTACAGTACTGACACGCTAAGCGTGGTCATGCGTGCTGACCCCTGCCACGGCACAACTGCTATGATTCTTTAGGGTGGAGGCCATTGCTATAGGAGCAAAGGCCATTGACTAGGCCATTGCTGTTAGGTTGGAGGCCGTTGCTATTAAAAGGTTGGAGGCGGTCGCTATTAGGTTTCTAATACTAAACAGTACTTTTTCTATAAGGGTATCGGTATCGCCTCCTCAAGCTCTGAAGCCTTGAAGCTTTCATTGCCTCGCCTGGGCCGCTGGAACATGGCAGATGTGGCTGCTGAGGTCTGACTGAAGGGTAACATTTGTTGGGATTCCAATTTGTCAGCCAAGGGACCCAAAAGAGAAGAATGTAGCAAAACACGGCACAAAAGTCAAACTCTCAAAACTTGCTTCCCGTTGAAGACCACACTGGATGGGAAAGTCAATGATGCACCCAGTGTGAATGCTGGGCATCTGGAGGAGATTTTTTGTCCCAATCACCACATGTGACATGAGTCATGCCACAAGCCCGTCTCTGATTCTGATGGTTTGGTTGGGACCACCTCGCTGCGAAGCTTCCACGAGGGTGCGCCAAACATGGGCTCTAAAGTCTAGTCACCAGTTGAAGGTAGCAAGGGATCAAAAAGGTGACATGGCCAGCATGCAAACACACATATGTTCCATACGTCAACTGGCACGTCAATTATTCAGAAGCAGGTGACGGATTGGACTAGATATATATACAATTATAGTACCATGAAGATCATGTGATATCATGTGCGTGTACTGGATGTCATCAAGCATCAGCACAAAAACTGGGTGCAGTGACTCTTTCAGCTGCGGCACCGAGAGGCCTGCAGGTACCTGCACAAATCTGCCACCCTGTGGTGCGGCAATTTGTGCCAAAATGTCTCCTGTGACTGGAACAGCCTACATTTTACATTGGCAACTGTGGGGTGTGGCAACAGTTCCTGGCTGCCCGCCTACACACATCTGAAGTGGCAGTCTTTGACAGGAGCGTCCATGACTATTCCTACGCAAACCTCCTGTCTCAGCTGGTGCTCTGCTGATCCTTGCTTGGCACATCACCAAGCCTTCGGATGCCTTCGGTGCATTTGGACACAATTATTTTCTGACATCTGACACAACAAAGACCTGCAACGTTTCTCAAGTCTAGCTGGGTTGAAGGAAGTATAGATCACAAATTTCTCATTGCATCGAACACGCTGTCCGGTCGTCCCTCGGCTTCCGGAAGCCTCCGGCTTCTGCGGGACCTGCAGGTTGTCCTCCTTCAATCGCTTTCGCCCCTGTCCTGCAGGTGGGAGGCGGGAGGTGGGTCATTCCAACGTGCCATCATTGATTAGAACAAGGATATTTTGGTACATATGCTTGTGTCACTAGAAATGTTGATTCTGCAAAGCTGAGCAGAATTCTCACAGTACATGTGACTATGGGGGCTTTGTAACGTTTCATTGGCGTCCCTACCGAGGCTTGCTGACCCATCTCGGCTTTCTAGGCCTTGTAACTGTAGCCATTCAAGTGCAAATTCTCGAAGCAGTTTTTCTTCAAACGTCACCCCCGCGTGTTCCATCCAAAAATCGGAACAACAATCAAAACACACAAACAAACGGAACTAAAATGTAAACTAAAGTGAACACACATGGTAGCAACAAGTCTGTTTGTCCGCATGTACTGCTGATTTTACCTTGAGAAGGACAGCCTGACTCAATCACACACGGACGCAAAGTCACGGAGCCAAGAGCTCTGACGATTCGGCCAAGCAGCCTTTGACTCCGTGCCCGAGGAAGAAACACAGGAAGCCATCCAGTCCATTGGCTATAATTAATTATGATTCAAACATTCTAGTCTAGAAACCTTGCATGGAGCCCCAGTCCATTGGCGGTTGCCCTGGATCAGGCAATCAAACCACTGTGATGAATGCCCCCAATTCTCCATCACATCCAAATCAACGCTCCGTAGCTCTTTCATGCTGTTGCTGTTTCTGGTGCATGCTGCATGCTTGATGACTGTGGCTTGCAAACTGAATGCATCCTGCCTTCCCCTCGAACTTCCACCTGGCCCCCCAACAGCCAACCCACAGCACTTGAGCTTTCTGTCTATAAATGCATACCCGCGATCAACCGGTACAAAACAAACAAAATATGACAAAAGTCACACTTTTGTACCTGTTACACACGCTCCTGTCCTCCTCCCCATGGAAACGCTTGAAACAAAGCCCGGCCTCCCACCGATCGGCTGTCGAATCAAAGCGTTGGAGGCGCCCTATCCTGGCCACTGGACGGGGATACGAAGTAGACTGGCTTCAAAAAGCAAACCACTCACAGATCTGACGATATCAGTGTAGGCAGCAAACACATATCACACACATCCACACACTATACATAAATACATATCTATGCACGCTGCCTTTGACTTTAAGGCAGCAAATGCACGCGCACACACACACACCAAACACACACACACACACACACATATATATATATATATATATGTTATAAACATAAACATGTATGATGCATATTAGGTCATAGTAGTCTACATGGTTGCTTTTCTGACGTTGCACGGCGCTGTCTGAGATGCACCAACACCTAGTAGCGTCCTTGCTCCTAGTAGCGATGCCCTTTGCTCCTAGTAGCGATGCCAGGAGCCCCTAGTAGCGTCCTTGCTCCCACCATCGCCACCAACTTGATCGACCCCTGAGGAGTAGCACTTTAGTCCAGAAACGACTATGCGATCAAGCCATGGACGGGATGACGGACTGCAGTGACTGCAGTAGCTGCATAGGTATGGTTTGGGCTCATTCCACCGAGTAGACGGGCCCTCTTCATGCCACGACCTATAATTCTGCTGTGCAGCTGCAAGGTGCACCAGGTGCCTGCCATTAAGCTCAGCAGCGTTCTGCAGGCCATGTAGTCTCACCTTTCACCAGCTGGTTTGTGCGGGCGTCTTCACACTAAAGCTAAATGCACCCCGATGTCGAAAGAAACTTGGGAGACAAATGCCAATGCTGGCGATACGTGTGGCGCTTAGAGAGAGAAAAAGAGACAAAGAGTGAGAGAGAGAAACACGTACAGGAATCGCACACAATGGAGATATATTGCCCTGATCTTAAACAAGTGTGGCCATGGCGTCCAACTCTCGCAGGCCCAACTAAGATCCAGTCCAACTGCTTTGACTTGAAGCTGCCGTGTTCCTGGTGAAGCCATGGGCCAATGAGCTGGTCTCTTGGACTTCGCTGAACCAACAGTGGGGGCCCAAATGAAGCTTGAAACTTAAAACCCAAAGGATTCATTTAATGGTGCTAGCATATCTATATATCTATATATATATATATATCTGTAGGGAGAGAGAGATGTATGTATGCACTCTTTGGAGCGCAAGGCAAGTGATTAAGGTTTCAACTGCGCAAACGTATGCACAAGTAATTAGTGTGCTTTTAAACCGTCTCAGCTTAGCAGTTGATTTTGGGTGAGACAATTGGCGGTTTAAAAACACATGTTTGACAGCAATCGGAGTGAACTATTTTCTTTCTCTTCTTGCGCGAACTTGCAGTTGTACAGTCGGTGACGACTGCTGCTGCAATAGAGGCTGGTTTCACAATCAGCGGCATCTGACATCAGTTGGCTCTCCGTCAGGGACAGCAGCTAGCTTACCATGGAATTAAAGACATGAAGAACGCGTCTTCGATGCCATCTGGAGGCCAAATACCGAGGTATGATGAGGTATGACTGCCGATGCCGGCTGATCCTGATCAGAATCCATCGAAACGTGGAACTTCGCCGAGGGCCTTCTTCATCGCATCCTTCCACCCAGAAGGCTGAGGATCATTGCTGACTCTGTCCAGCCAGTCGTTTTGAGGGTCAACCGGAATGAAGTAGCCTGCATGCGCTGCATGGACCCAAGGAAGGGTTAAAAGTTAAAGCAACCAAACGCAGTGACTTGGTCGTGGGATGTGTTGGGCACACTGCACACAGCTTAAGAAGTCTAGGGCCTTTGACGCTGTATACTTCTGTATGCATACCACCGCAGCTGGGCGTTGCACCCTCGTCAACATCGTAGCATATATAGCTGGGTCACAGTTCGTAAGCTGAAGGTGTGGTCTGCTGGGCCGTTTCACAGGAAAAGCATGTTCCTAACTTGACTCACAACTACTAACAAACAGATTCACATTGAATACATGTCAGTGCATGCATTTCTAGGGCACGTAACCATGTCACCCACCTGTATGTGATAAAAAATAAAAACATAAGCATCATAAAATCAATATGCTGACTATGTCAATGTGCCATACTCGCACTGTCCGTGGGTGTCAGAACTACCCCTTCAACCCATTTGGCATCCAAAGGCAGGTTCTCTCAGACTATCTCACCAAGTGCCTCTCTCACGGAGGAGAGTGAGTTTGTGACGGCCCTTGCCGGGCGTGATGTTGAGGCCTTGTCCTTGCAATTCCTTACAGCGACGACGCTTCCCTTGTTAGGTACGACAACTGCAGCATGCCATATGCGCCATATGCCTACTGTCAAGCAGCCAAATCTCCCCCTGGCTTCGGTGCGCACAAGCACCAAGTCTTTAAGATTCTTTAAGGCTGTTACAAAAACCTAGATGCTAGACAAGACCGGACGCGAACAAACCCTACAAACAAAACCTGAAGCGCAGGCCACGTCTCTTTCAACCTCTCCTCACTCACGCGATCTGGCTGTTCCCATGGGTCAGTGAGATTCCCAGGCCAAGGTGTTGGCATGCCACCGGATTTAGCCCAGCATTTCCTCAACCAGTATCCAGGAATCCATTTGGACTCGGCAAAGAAACATCCATGGACATGCTTCCACCCATGTGATGTTAACACAGGATGTTTTCATGCAAGACATCCCAGTCAATAAAAGAACTCTTGCTGCCACGCGTCTCGCAATACCACTCGTTTCGTGCCGAACCGGGGCGCGAGGCGCTCGCACCCTGTAAGGTTGTGCGGTTGCATTGGAAGCAAACGTTCTCCTCACCCCAGGATCGTGTCCAGGGCACCAGTTTGCTTCCCCGGCGAAAGCCCCAGGCCTCTTCGGCTCCAAGACCCGGGCAAAGGCTGCGCTGTTCGGATTCCACTGCCAACAGGCGTGGTCGAACCTAAACAGGCTGCAGCACTCAAGACTCTGCACATGCGCATTTTAGCCACTCATGGAGCTGCAAATGTTCAAACAGTCTACAGCCGACTACACCGCTTTAAGGCCAACTGACTCGCATGTGTTATTCAGGTTGAATATACCCCGACATGCATGTATGCCCAACTCTCCATGCTGGCGAAGGCACGTAATCTCGGAACTCGTTGGCACGTTGCAAACCCTCTGGGCCAAAGTTCTCCTCGGTATGCCCGGTGTAGACCCCAGGTACGCGGAACCAAGCGAAAAGAGCTGCCCGAGCATCCTTGGCCATGCAAATATGGAAAGGTAGCAAGAAAGGAAAAAAAACAACGGAAAACAACATAAACATAGACTAGGTGAGGATTATTACAAGCTGAAAGCCGTTGAAAACAATGTAGGTAAGTGTGAATGAGTGCGAATGTGATCGAATGTGTAGTCCAACACCCTTGTTGAACACAAGAACACAATGACAAAATGCAGCGCACACACACACACACACGCGCCAGGGATAATCAAGCACATCAAACATATCAACTCTGGTCTATCTTCATCGGCTCAGCTCGGCCACCCAGGTCTTCAAAAACAACCGCTGGAAACCAAAAACCCTTTGCCTGTCGACATTCTAAGGCTCAGAGCTCTCATTCTCCAAGCCCCGGTGTTCCGTGAAGGAGTCGTAGAGGATCACTGAGCCCGGCGCTGAGGTGCCCACCATCTCCTGAGGCTTGGAGCCACTCAGATCACCTGTGAGGAGATGAGATGAAGGGAAGAAGCCGATGGCACCGTTCAGCGGGGTGGCCTGGAGTTCAAGGGCTCGTGAAAACCATTGAAAAAACATATGAAAACGGGGCCGTGCAAATATCATACTTTCAGTCTGACTTTCAGTCAAATTGTTATTGATGTTGTTAATTCATGAACATATTGTAATTACATAATATTACATAATATCTATATCTACATCACTCATGCATATAATTATGCAATGAATGCAATCCCAAGTGTTACCTAGGCATTGTGAACCTAGTCGAGGACTGGCCCAATCAGCGGGCTGGAGGTGACGGAGAATCATAGACAAACAACAAGCTTGCGCGGCAAGCCCCGTTGCACAAGCAACTACATTCACAACCAACACTTTTCAGGAACACGAGTTCCAGGTAGGTCAATTAGATCACAAGAATTGTGACAGTATTATACAGTATTTAAGTATTTCCAGTGATGCTACCTTGAACCTTGATGCAATCAACTGTGTAAACATTGCTTGTACTTGAGAGGAGGGAGACACGAAAGGTAGGACAGCGGGAAGAGAAGAGAACACGAGAGGCAGGAACAAAAATGCAATGTTCGACATGGTGATTTATCCACTCGGAGGCGACCTTTCGTACATATATGTTCATATGCACTTTAAATGTTCAAACATGTGCTCTCGAAATGTTCAATCAGATTCTTAGGAAAACAAACTTGCCCCATGGCTCAGATCATCGGTGAGCATTGAATCGGAACATCATAGGATTTGAACTATCCTGAAACCATAAGAGGCTCACGAAGACGCTCCCCAGGAGAGAATTGACGCGCTTCACAGAACACCTTTCGTGATTAGAATTTCATATTCACTCTTTCTGAATGTTCAAGAGGGTTTCAACTATCCTGAAATCATGAGAGGCTCACGAAAACGATCTCCAGGAGAGAATTGATTTTAGAGGGGGGGAGGGGGGGGGGGGGTCTGTTTAAAAAAATCAATTAGGGGGGGGGGGGGGGGGGGGGGGGTCTGAATTGAGCGATCAATTATTAGACCCGGACGTCCCAACACTTGCTTCGCAAGACAAACTCAAGGTATCCCCTAAAGGGCTACCTTTCGTGAAATGATGTAGAATGCGTTGCACATCAGGGTCAACAAACGTGTAAACCACTGCAAACAATTCTTGGCCAGCTGGTTACTGCATCAAAGCCTAAATTCTTCCGGTGTGGCTCTGCTGCATCTTCGCCTTGCCTGCATGGGTGTGAGAGGTATGTGAACTCCCAGTGAAGCACAGGGACCAGGAAGGATCGTATCACGATGCCGTGTTTGGGCCGGTGCCCCTGGTGGTGTGTCCACGACCACGAGCAAATCTAACTCGGGATATCCAGCACCTCGGGCACTCAGTCAGATGCTTTGGCATGAGCTTTCAGCATCAGCAACAACTGAGGGGCTGTGTTGCAGCTCGATGACATCCAACAACCATGCAGGGCACAAAGAAAGCCGCAGCCTTTTGATTAGCGCAATTTAGTACAAACATGCCTATACGGTGAATATGACTGACTCTAGGACCCTAGGATGCCGGAACCACCTTGTGCCAGGCTAGGGTTTCTCTTGAAGCATGTCTGGATTCTCAAACACATCCTCATGTGCACCTGCCAGGCGGCAATCTTTACCAACTTTATTTGAATCTGAATGAATCATTCTGAATCTCGAGAACTCTATGATCTCTTGGGGGAATGATCTGCCAACATGCTGGTGACCCAAAACATCCCAAAACGATCAGAACCGAGGTCACTCAAACGCCCGGAGGTGAACTCTTCGATATCTCCGCCAGAACCGAGCCAGTGCGCAAATGACATTTCAGCTGCCTTCTCCTTGCGGTTTTTGGGAGTTGATGCTTTGCTCCGTTCGTAGCGAGGCCCTTTGTTACTAGTAGCTTCCCGCTCCTAGTCGTAAGGCCAGGAGCTACTAGCGGCGTCCTTTGCTTACTTCAATTTTGGCTTGGCAAGTTAGCATTAGAAAGCAAACCATGTTGGCCAAAGTCGTAAAACTCGGCAAAACATGTCGGGGAAGAACATATTTGCACGTCTCTTTCTCCCTTTGCCTCTCTGCGCCTCTCTCCCTCTCCCTCTCCCCTCTCTCTCTCTCTCAGTTCGCTGCCGGCCTTCCTCCCTCCATCCGCCCTTCCTTCCTTACCGCTCTCTCTCTCTCTCTATATATTCAGAGAAAGTCACAGCAATCCGCTAGCCCCAACCCATGATAGTGGCCAAAGTGTTCTTTCAAGCAGTCAAACCATACGCATCTGCAAGTCCTCACTCGTGTTCGTGCTGTTTCGCAGATATCGTGCCAAAAGCGCTAGGATCAAAGGATGGCAAATGATGTCGTCACTTGCCCACATCTTGTTGAAGGGAGGGATGGTCATATCCTGATCGTCAAATGTGAGCTCGGGAAGTCGAGTAGCTGTTGACGGGTTCGATTTGAAACGCAAATGTGAAATGCCAAACTGCCAAACACAAACAAACTATGCTATTTGTGACAGAAAGGGCACCTGGCCCAGCATTGTAGGGAGGGTGGTGGGAGGCCACCATCTGGAACATTCTGAAACATCAGATCATCAAAGTGCTAAACTTGATGTCCAAAGATCCCGCTGTGCTCGCATGCGGCTGAAAGTGACACCCACGGGCAGGTTTTGCCGCTGCCGGCGAAAGTCTTCAAGCAAGGCCTCCATGGATGCAATTTCAACAATCTGCTCTTGAGAGCACACCCTTTCTCACCTTGATGTGTGGCAAATGATTCGTATCCAATGATCGTTGCAAGTTTCCATCGACCTGTCAAATCAAATCAAATGTATATAATTAGTCCATCGCGCCAAGGCCAGTCCTGGAGCCTTTCAGGTGAGAGCAAACTTTCTAAGACCACAAAGCCTCGGATTCGCGGGCCTCATCATGTTCATCACCAAAATCTGCGACACATTGCAAAACTCTAAATTGTCTTGAGGAACTGCACCTTCGATGCTCTCCGAAACGCAGGGTAGGGCTAGTGGCCCGAGGAATTGTTAACAAGACAGAATCTTGTTAATGTCGGGTTGCCATTCTTCTTCAGCTGAGACAAAGCTTCCTCCAAGATGTCCTGGCTGTTTGAACGCCGCAGGCGCTGCATGTGTAACATGCGTCACTGTTGCTGGTATGACTTCAGAATTACTCAGGCAACCAGGACAATCAACAATACAATGCAAAAAATACAATCATTGATTGTTTTGGTTTTAGTGTTTGTTTGCGTTTTCTTGGCCCAACAAAGAGTGCAAGTGATGCTTTAGATATAGAAATGCATTATTCACATCACGTCAAGCCTTGGACAGTGGGAAACAAAATAAAGAGCTACAGTACCACTACAACCTCCAAAATCTAGCGGCCCTAGCTTGTGTTTTTTAAAGAAAACTAACAAGCCAAATCTCACTCGTGGCTCTTTTGTACCATGTTCTTTTCACCGCTGGACCATCTCCTGTTTTTGTTTCAAGTTTGCTGTATGCCAGTTGACGCAGGGCACCACTGGGGCACCCGGGTTGGGCACGCCATTGGAATCGTAGAGGAACAACCGCTCGCTTCCTGCAAGCACTCCGATGAGATTTCGCTTGCAAAATAGGTTGAAGCTCTAAGATTGAACTCCCAACGAGAAATTCCGCCAACGAGAAGAAAGTGGAGCCACGAGTGACTTTGCACGGTTTCACTTTGGGAGTCCCTGACGCCCTGAAAGATGCCTGCAGGTGGAATGTAGGATCTATACACCTTGCGCGGCGCGGTCAAAGAGTTCAGCAACTTCAAGAGCTCCTCCTGCGGGTAGCCTGAAGTCTGTTCATGTCTGTCTTTCGCAGCCATTTCCACCAGAACGAATCAATCACTCCCTGATGCTCAAGCAGTGGTCAAAATGATCAAAATGACATCAAGAACTAAACTACTCCACGATTATCCACGATTTTGTCTTGCAATGCTTCAGCATGATGAGGAATCCTTGAACATTTTACTGAATCTTGCCAAGAACTGTATCGAAGCTTGTTCACTTCGTCCACCAAACGGATCGAAGCTTCCCAGGCCGGCGCCATGGCCCCCATGGGCCTCGCCCCAAGGCGCCGAGATTGACCGTAGCTCATGACCAGCGCAGCGCTGGCCGACGCGTGTGGCCAAAGCACCCGACGTGGAGTCCGCGGGATGGACGGCGAGGAAACACAGGGATCCACCAGGCGAAGAGCCATGTGGCGATCCACCAGGCGATAAAAAATGCTATCTGGTTGTGGCGAATCATGCTCCCCATGCACATCATGGAGCAGCCGTTCTGAAATGGTGAGATGTCTCAGGGTATAACAGAAGTCCTCTTGTGCTTCCACCTGCCTTATGATCAGCTACAGTGACCAAATGGGCGAAGTTGGATCCGAACTTTCGATGGTGGAGTGATGACGGTTGGCTGACGAGCGGCTGACTAGCCCTATCTATATAAAAGAATTTTGATCAAGTTTGAGAGGCTGGGCCCGGCCAAGTCTGCTTCCCACTCTTTCCTCTTAGCTCGCATGTGAGATCCAATCATGCTTGTTCATCTTGCAGTTGGCTTGAGCGAAATCAGGCAAATGATGGCAACTGTGAGTCGGTGTCAATTTCACAAGGCGACAACTCACTGGCTGCCAGGGATCTGCAAGCCACACCCCAAGCCAAGGCAGAAAGTGCCATGCACTTAACAATTGGCCACTCAACAATTGGCTGGCTCCTCCTCAAGCAGCATTGAACAGTTTCTCTAGAAGCAAAGCATCCATGTAGGTGTTGGACAGCCAAGTCAGCAACCCCTACAGGCCCTACCCTCAAAGTCATTCAACAGCAAACACCCCTCAAGTTGCTGAGACGCAACGCAATCAGCCCACCAAAAGTCGGGTGGGCAGAATCTTACCGTAATCTTACCTTTGCCAGTTTCTGTGCCAATGATATCGACCTCTCCAGATTTTCTCGGACATTGTAAGCAAATGTGGACAAATTGAGTCACTAAAGTATAATTACTACACTGAAATGATTCACATTGTAATTGAATGTATGTATCTGTAACAATGTCAATCTTTTATGCAGATTCTTGCAGGTCTTAGAGTCTTAGAGCACGTCCATTGATCGTTCCCGTCGCTGTCGGCCTTTAGAAGCGCCGAGCTCTCAGTTTTTTCCACCTGACAGGCGTGACACCCGGAGTGAAGGTCGCCGGCCGTTCGTGTCCGCACGGCGACAATGAGAGACGTCGATGCCATGCATCTTTCAAAGGTGACATGAATTCAGGTGACCTGATGATTCCTGTGTAAGCCACCTTGATGTCCTCCTTCTTCACATGCCGGTAGCCACCCTGATTGGTTGCATGCTCCAGGTGCCTGCGTCAAAGGATGTCAAAGGTACACTAAGCGCCGCCGGCCGCAGAACAGGTCTTGTCATGATAATTCAAGAACACATGCGCCTGTAAGCCACCACTATGGGATCTGACCCAGAGGTGGTTGCGTCGTCAAACTGCACCCGCATGTTCCTGCACAACTGGGTGGCGAGAGAATGTGGCCCAAGCCACCTGTCATGATTCAGGCATGCGGCATGAGTCATGAGGCCAACAACTCAAATAAAGCTTGCCAAGGTGGCTTACTGCCGGCCAGCATTCCGAATGCTTCTGCCTGACCATGCGACATGCTATCAAACGTCCTGCTGTCTGGGCTGTTTTCCACCTGAACAGTTGGCAGGCTGCTTTCGCACACAGGCAACTGTGAACAATCCTTACCGTATAAACTTGACAAAGAGCCATGATGTACAGTAGCTTATGCTGCTTATGCTGGTGCCCTCGACCTTCCAAATGTAGACACCGCATGAAACAACATCAACATCAATCAAGAATCCCTGGAACATGAATCAACAAACAAAATCACATCCTCGAGAGACCTGAGACTCTGAGACTCCGTACGATGGTCCCTTCCATGCCGCCATGGAACCTCAAGTACGCAGGTCCTGCTGTGGCCGTCGAGCACCAATGCCAAGTGTCCAGCATGCTACTTCGTTTCAGCCTTGCACCCTCTGAATGCTTTAGGATTCCGCGCTTCTCAAAGTTCCTGCCCCCAAGCACGCGCACGCGCTCACCCGCAGGGAGGGAAGCAAGGTCTGCCATGCCTCATGTGCCTCAGGCTGCAGGCAGGCTTCCAAGTAAAATGTTGAACTTTATCTTTAAGCCAACTCGAGCCTGCAGGTCAAAACTGTTTCGTGGTCAGCAACCTTTCCAAAGTCGTTACGGGTGTGATGCTTTCTGGCAACAGTCGCCAGGAGCGTCCCACAGAAGAATGAGCATCTCTTGCAGCTCAGCTTCTGACTCTCTCCTACAGGGCGACCCCTAGTTTGAGCCGCTGAGCCAAAATACAGCGAGAATGAGGCTGGAAAGGACGATCGCCCTTGGGCCGCTTGCTGTTTGATCTGTCCCATCTTCAACGTGTGCGAGCGATGCACGCCAGCGAACACCAACGTGGATACGTCAAGCTCTTACAACTATGCTCCGTTCGGAAGCCTTGAGGCGAAAGAAGCCGTGACAATGCGGAGGGCCTTGATGCTGTTCTTCAGTTGGGGTGAGATGTTTTGATGTCTGACACCTCAAGACTGTCGCAATAACAATGCCGCCCAAGGAATTCACAAAGTTACACAAGGGAACCTATCTGCCCTACTGTCGACAGCAAGGATTCAAAGGTTGTATACCTGGGGACCTTTTCAAAGCATCTGTCCTTCCAAATCCCCCAACCCCGCTATGGCCTTCGTGAGGCAAATGCGATCGATGAGTTGAGGCCTGGAATGCAATCCACGGGCCGAACAGTGGACGGTCTCACAAGACCCCTGGGCAATCTCATCCGACCGTGGACCCTCTGGGTGTTCAACATTGAATCAAACAAGTCGTAGAAGTAGGTGGACAAATTGCCCAGTCCACATTGATGAATCTGGATGTTTGACATTGTGTGGGTGAAGGAAACTAAACGCCCTTACAAACCCAATAATTCCAGTTGGTCGTGATGTCTCTTTCATGCTGTAACAAGCACATGTGCCACGGATGCCAGCCGCAAAGGACTCCTGTTTCTCATGATCAGACTTGCCCGGTGTCGATACCATTTGCCGTCAAAGTTCTGTACCAAAATGCGGCAAATATCCGTGGAGATGAGTTAGTTGCATTTCACGTGAGCTAGTGTATCACACAATCAATGCCAGTCAATACTATTTCAGTGCGTCCCAACACAAAATGATGCTGCTCTTGTCATGATCCGAGCTGGTGAATGGGCTTCCAAGGAAGGCGACTGAAAAGAAAACCAGACTTTAGACAAGTCAATCAAAACGCCAGTGAACTTCATCCGCTGAGTCCCTGATGAGTCCCTGAGGAGCCCCTGCAATTGGGCCACGACCTGGGCTACGCAGCAGCGTCCGATCGATGGCCTTCGTTTTCTGACAAGCATAACAAGTCACAAAGATTCACAAAGTGTTCTAGAATTGTAGTTGCGTTACAGGGTTATGGGTATAGTTATAGTAAAGAACTTCAATCTGGAATCTAGTGTGGCCCTGAAAAGCACCACTCGGGGGTGTTACTTCACCAAAGTAAGAACGAAAAGCCATCAAGGCTTGCATTCGGGATCTATTTTGGAAGCGTGCTCACAACTCACGGCTATAGGAATGGCTGAAACACACCTCTGAACTACACTCCCATCTCGCAGGCGCATACTATTGCCATTGCGATCGCGCTCTTTGGAGTGTTTGAAAACTGCAAGTAAGCCACCCAACAGGTCACGGATATTTACAGTACATGGACATGACCTTGTCGACGATGGTTAAATTGCACCCAGCCGATGTTATAATCATGGCCTAGGACTGCACTATATACACTGTGCCCAAATATGCAACGGGTGATTCTGTCTATATATTGGCAGCGGGTGGGGGGCATGCTCGGGAACAAAGGACTGAGCGGACCTATATGTATATAATAAGTTATAAGTGTAGCATACTATAGCAATGCGCCCCGCAGTTCAAACGAGCATCGAATCTCCGCTTGCCTACCGAGTGAGATGAAATTATGTGAATCATACTTTTAATAGCTGCACATGGGGTTGTGGATTCTGCAACTCAGAAATGCATACTGGGTATCAAATGGAAAAAACGACCAAAACTGCCTGCAAAATGGATAGCTGGCTCTACAAAATGGAATCTGACCCGGTTTATGAAATAACAACTCCTTGGTGCGAAAGCCTGAGGAAGAGCATACCCCCCTTTAAAGAAACACGATTCTTGAACATCAATGACCTTGAACATATTTGTCCTCCAAGTTTTACCTGAACTCTTGAACAAAATGTCTTCTTACAAATTGAGTTTCTGACGGGTGCTCAATTTTATAAGCACCCAGGATGTGGGATGATATCTTTGTCCTTGCTGGTTTGGCCAAGCTGCAATCATTCCTCTTCAATGCTGTTTGAACGCCCCTCACTCCCATCTAAGCATCCCTGACGCTCAAGGCACCAGCAAACCAGCAATTGCCCAAAGCCCCCCTGGCCACAGTTGTGAGCTTAACTGATCAGCTTGGCAAGGAATTGCACCTGCATCTTGTCAAAACAAGGACTAAAGTATAAATATCATTATAGACTATAGAACTGAACAAATCGAGCAAACTCAAAGTAAGGGGAGTGTTGAGCTCCTACACCCTGTACAAAATCTCGACAGCTCTCCTGTCAGGGTAGGACGCATGCAAGTACTTGGCCCTGCCTGACACACGTCTTCTGGCCGAGCAACCTGCAACTCAAGCGGCCATTGAGATCATGAATGGTATCAATGGTTGGGACATAGAGTTCGCCTGCACCTGCCTAAATCATGAACTTTGGATGAGATTGGAGTCTTTGGGCTGAGCTACATGTTCTGGGCCAACAACACTTTCGCCCCTAGGTGCATCTATCGACCTCCAGGAACCTCACTGGCATCAGGCCAGACCTGCAGCCCGAATGCTCTCTCACACTCCGCCAGCAACTGCTGTTGCTGGTAGGGGGTTGGATGCTTCAAACTGATCACACAGCGCACACGAACAGTTTTTCTGCCACTGAGGACTGAGGCCTTTGCTTTGCAGAGTTTTTTCAGCAAGGCTTGGCCAAAGCTGGTCTACCCTCGGCCCTTCTTGAAGGACTTGAAGCAAGGTGCCCGTCTTGGACCCATGAAGGTGGGTGTCCGTCATGCCAACAACCCATTGCTACTAGTAGCTTCTTGTTAATTACTAGTAGCATGGGACAACGGGGCTTGCCAAAAATCCTCTTACTCTTGGCTGCCGAGACTCAGGTCTTTTTTGCCCAGGACGTCTCCAGCTTTTTGGCATGCAGCCGTTGGAACCTGGCCCCGATGGGAAACGCTGATGCTCAAAGGGCTTCTTTGGGAGAATGTGCACCTGTATCTGCAAATGCGTGAATGTAGCATAATATATCTATATACATACGTTTATTGACAGCCTTTTCCCTCAACAATCTACCTTTAGAGTGCTTCTGCAATCCCTCTCTCTCTCTATATGTGTATATAGATATATATATATATATATATCCCCGCGTGGTGGGCTGAACATGTGTTCAAAACAAACCACTCTTGTAACAGCATTGTTCATAAACAGTTGTCCTTTCATGAAGAGATGTTCTTTTGTTAAGCATTCTCATTTCAAAAGTTCTTGGTGCGCAAGAGTTCCTTTCTTTTTGTAAACAAATCTTCAATGCTCAGTTCTAATCCTGCTTTAAGTATGACGACATAGCGCACATTCCCAGTGCCTAAAGTTATAGTGTTTGATCCAAATTGTTGAACTGCAATTGATGGCTTGAAGCACCTCACCTCGAGTGAGCAGTCAATTCCTGTATAAGGGCTTCAGTGCGTCTGAACGTGTTGTCTCCCTTGATCATACAGTTGTTTTCACTGTATAGCATTCACGCCTCCGTATTCAAGGACTTCTTCATGCAACACATCCAAAGAAATCTCCAATATGTTGCCCACTCCTTTCCCAAATCTCTTGTATTGAGCTTGATACTCACAGACTCCGATTCCAAAGGGCAGGATTAAACAATAAATCCTGGTCGAGCAACATCAGCAAAACAAGTCATGTTTCCCAGCCACATGGAACAGGAGCTGAGATGGAACTCAACCCAACCCCGCTAATATCAACTTTATACAAATCCGTGATTTAGCCGTATCAATTCCAATTCCTGGCTTCCAGTCTGGCCGCGATCGCCTAGTTTCGTCTCCTAACAGTGTATTGAGCAAAAGTCTGATCTCCTCGCAGGTCAGTGGACTGATCACGCGATGGCTTCAAAGATGGGTTCCCTATTCCTATCCAAGCCTTTAACGAGCCCTGCCGCCGGCATATAGCTCAATGATTGTGGCATCTTGAGATAGTTGGTCGTGAATTTCGGAAGGTTCTTGCACTTCAACGTGTAGGACAAACAGTTTCACCGGAGGACCGTACAAAACCCGCTGAAAATAGTGCAGAACTGAAACAGGGGCAGCATCCTCGGTCTGCGAACAAAGTTGGTCAAAACTGGCAACTATTCAGCTTTCGGGCTTGCGAACTGCTTGAAAACAAGAGCTTGGGAGTCGCAAACCTTTCTCGAGTCTTTACCCTGAAAAGGATCCCACTCACATCCAAGTGTGCGCCCAGAAGCTGACACACTTTCAAAAGCTGCAGCCGCTCACAATATCTCCATGCATTACAATTGGGAACTTATACATATATAGATATAGAGAGAGGTTTGAGTGATCTTGCTTCATTGTTTCACAGACTTTGCAGCACGACGCTCCTCATCCCTCACTGCAAGTGCTTCTTCATCCTCCTCTCGGTGGTGAGCCAACATGAACTTCGGCTGGTTTCCACCTCGCTTTCTGAGATTTCCCAGCGGCTGATGTTGGAAGGGTAGGAACACTGGCCCGCAACAGCATGAGACAGCCACTTGACATGGCTTTGAAATACCATTGTGCACTGCACAAAGTTCATCAAAGTTCACATGATATTTTCCATGCCTTGGAGAAGCATGGCGGATGGCAGTGTGGGTGGGTCCAGCAAAGCGCGGATTTGACGTTCAACACCAACATCCTTGGTGGACACAAGGCATGCTACCACCCTCCCTCTGCATGGTATAATGGATGCGAAGGCGAAGGCCATTCCTTTTCTGAAAGGCTATACATACAGGGTTTGGTCGAGCAGGGCTACTAACCCACTCCATCCAGAAACTTGCCTCTGGCCTGTTTCAATGCTCTCCTACTCCAAATCATTGCATGAGCGACCATTCGCACATAGCGGGGTCGTTCTGCACAGTTGATCCGTGCCACTTGTTCAATTGTTGTTGTTCTTTCTTGCACATTGCTCGGCTAAGATAAGACAAAGCTTCAAGCCACAAATAATCCAGGGAGATGCCACGCTCCTCCAATCGTTGCTGAAAGTGATCCTTGATGTCCAACAGCATGCTCTCATCTGTGTAGGTGAGGCCGCCTTGCTTCATGTAAACCAAATAGAAGACTTTCTCCTCAGTTTCAGTGAACTTTCAGAGAGGGCCCTAGACCACCTGTCAGCATGAGCCACAAATACACAGTTTGTTTGGACTGAAAAGCTGGAACAAACTTCTCATCATGAAACGATAGAGGGTTATACATTGGGTGAACAAGTATGCATGAAAATGCCTGAAGTAGCATACTCTCCAGGACAATCTGTACCGACTCAGTACCAACATGTGTCCATGGCCTTCTCTCTGCAGCTCTATTCAAATTGGGTGTCCCGTTGACTGCTCAACACCGGTGCTTGAGAATTGGAACCATTTGGAACCTTGGAATCGCCTGCCCTGACAAACATTGAAGTCAAACCTAGAGTCTTTTGCCAGTAATCTTCGCTGCGTCTTGCCTTGGCTTCATAGACCGCGGGCCGCAGAAACGACAACTCCAATTGTCTACAACTCCAACTTTGCCCGTCTGCCCCCGCTAAACAGCAACACGCAACGAAAGCAAGTTAATCAAGATCAAGTTGCCATTAAGCTCTTGAATTACATGGGAGTTGTCCCTCACCACGCCTGTCCTTGAGTTACTCTTGCTACTGGAGGTTTCCTCTTTCACAGGCTGCCCTCCTGAAAGGAGGCCAGGATGCTTCGACAACCCTCTCTACTGCACAAGTTCTTTGAAGCTTGACGTGCGACAGCCTCATGTCTCTCCATCCCTACATCATGAGATACCCTGGAAGCAAGGACGAACAGCAGTTGTCCTTGCTTTCGGCAGATTGGCGCCAAATCGTCCCGGCCAGTACCCCGATTCGCTGTGTTGAAGTGCATGCGCTCCTGGAAGTTTGTCCCCCACTGGGCCATGGCATGTGATTTTGGACATGACAAGATGTGCAAAGGCAAGAAAAATGGAAGAGAGGAAAGCAACAAGAACAAGAGAGAGAGAGAGGTAAAACACACATATAAGCATACTAACACACACACACACACATATATATATATATACAGTATATAATGTACCGTATAAATACGCGTGCGTTTTTGAGTTGGTGTACATATGTATATAAATAGAGAGAGAGAGAAATAGAGGAACAACTAGAGGAACATCAACGCATGGGACCCATGGGAAAAAGAACACCAAACAAACTAAACGAATGAACAACGACAAACACAGTGCCGGGACCTAACCAACGCCCGACCCTGACTTGATCATGAACACGAAGCACAAGTTATATGAAATCACACCAAACTGACATCATAACTTGGCATAGTACCAAGGGCATCGCTACTAGTAGCTAGAAGCTACTAAGGAAAACCAAAAAAGTGCCCTGGGCAGCATCTGAGCGCCCGGACCAAACCCACGACCTCACCAGGCCGATCACGCAAGGAGCAATGTCGTGGCAACCCCTCGAAGCTGTTGGTCCTCAGCTCATGCGTTGGTGCCAAGGCATTTGCAATGATATGCGATATTATATCTAATTCAAGGAACCTTGTCCACAAGCTTTCTGTATAGCTGCCCAGGTTCCAGTATGGGTCCGGCTTCTGGCCCAAGGACAAAATTGCATCCCTCGGCAACCGCTCAAAGGTGAACCACAAAAGAGTCTTCGAGTCTTATATGGGACAAGATTGAGTTCCCGCTTCCCTGATCCAACAAACAGCGCCTCAGTTTACCAAACCGCTCAGCGATGCTCAGCGTCAGTCTCCGCCATGTTTTTGTTGTTTCTGGTCTCTATTTTTTGTCCAAGGTGGTGCCTGCATTCCTCGAAGGTGAGGATCTCTGATCCAACCTCGCAGGTGTCAAGGCTCAAACGGCTTACACTGGCTTGCCCTCAAGCAGCCCACCTACAGGCACAGTAGGTCTTGGAAGATGCTTGCTTAATTAATATTTGGAGCACACTTGCGGCGGGAACTGATTCACAGGACATAAACATCGTAGGCGGGTATGTAAGATACGAAGCAAGAACACTTGGTCAAAGTCCTGGAAAATCAAACTGGCAAACAAAAAGACGCCGGTATGAGTGACTTTTGCTGATCAGTGGTTCGTGCGGTCCTCAGACCACTAGCAACTATGTGTAGAACACGTGGTCTTACATGCAAAGTGGCACAGGGATTGGAACATGTGCCGAGCCACTGGACAACCAGGAGCTCCGTTCACCAACTTCACATACTCGTACGACTCCCGTGTTGGCTCTCGCTTGGGCTCTGGCCGGGCCTGACGATGGACTGTGGGACTGCTTAGGCGCCACCATGGGGGGGAATCTTTCCACGGTGTCACAGTTCCAGGTTTCAGGATTTACGACTCTTCAAGCTACTTCCTCTGATGTGTTGCCACATGTTGCAAGCCCCTTCACCGTGCTGGGCCATGCTGATTGTCAACAATTCAGCTAGTCACTGAACAACAATGAAGGGTGACAAATAACTCTCTCTCTCTCCCTCTCTCTCTCTCTATATATATTGATGATGATGATGATGACGATGATGTGATTTCAGCCCTCTTTGGCTCTCAATGGCTCAACCAGCATCCTGCATAATTACCTTCGATCTGTTCCAAGCCCCAACTACAAACGACCCCTTCACAGAAACCAACAGGTTATCATCAGCCCACAAAAGCCATTGAAGCAGATGTAGCGTCAGAAATCACACTCCCACAATGACGCTGGTCTGAATGTACAGTCTCGGTGATGATTGTTTGAGAACTATTCGATGTTCGAAGCATGCTATGTCACACAATGCCCTACCAAAAGTTCCAGAACGGCAAGTGTACATCAACCATTCTCCACTGCATAGTATATTCCAACTTTTTGAGAGTGATGATATAGTCGTGGTCATATCAGGCCCCACCAAGTTTCATCAGCTGCGAAAGTTGACTTGGATCGATGCACCTTTTCCGGCACTTTGGGCTTCATCTTTGCCAGGTTTCCAGCCAGCTTGCCTTGGAAAAATAAAAGCATACCATGAGGCAACAAAACCAGCATTTAGCCTTTGACCTGCCATCTAGACCTTATGACAAGGTTCGAGCGTAAACATGACATGATGGATTATGATCATTTTCTGACATCTCTTGGGCCAAACATGCCGGAATCAACATGTTCAACACCATGAGCTGATCACATTGACTGATAGACCAGCTTGTTCCTGGTCCAACTCTACCACATCAATTGTCACCTCGTCTAAGAGCCCATTTGTGAACATACCAGCATGTGACGACACCAAACCGAAAATAACTCAACCAAGAGATGGCTAGTTGCTCATAATCTCCGACACATCGATCTCGGCAACATTGCTGACATCCAAGTTTTGCAGCATCTGCTGAAGCTGCCTCAGCCGGCAACGCTCGGAGTGTTGCAAATCCTAGCCTGACATAAGCAATTCAGTAAATGATGGATGGAACATGATGTTGAAACTGGCCCGGCCAGGAACATGTAGGATGACAATGTCAAAAACCAGGATACCTTCGAGGGCCATGTCATGTCTTGCGGAACTTCAAGAATTGCCAAAGACCAGGGCGCTCAGGCAAAGTTGAAATGTCAATCTCCTTGATCTCTGCGGAAGACGTCACTGTGGCGCTGGCGGAAGTTGGCGAACCGCCGCGTCTCTTGCCTGGGCACCGGTTCGCCCGAGGTAAACACCGGAACGACGAGAAACAGGAACGACAGGAACATCCCTTTCAGGCACTTTTCTGGCACTTGAAGTTTCTTGTTACACTTCACGCTGCAGGAGTTCTGTGGCTATGCATATTTAGTTACATTACGATACCATGTTGTGCTGCTGCCCTACAGGTGAGCCTCGGAGTGAGATATCGTTTGGATTAACTTGGCACGTCTTTGGTCAGTACACCTAGCGTGCCTTGACGCCAAACCACACAAGGACATCACAGGACTAACATATTCCTTGATCTCATGTGGCACTTGGTGCCACTACTGCAGGTGCTTGGAATGACTTTGTCGGTCTTTTGATACCATTGCCTTCGCGTTTCAGGAGCTTGCGGCAGGATGATACACGATTCCGACGATTCCCCTGAAGACAGGCTAACATGGTCATCTCAGGTTAATCTGAACGTTCTGTCTTTCAAGCAATCGAGGGCCCGCCGCCAGGTCACCTTAACTTCCTGAAGACTTTGGCATCTGCCCCTTTTCTCACTGTCTCTTCCTATACAACTTCGTAGCTCTGGGACCAAGCCACAAACAGGCGAGAGGTCTTGACGGCCAAGGCCACCCACGAAGGAGTTAAAGTGCATGCGCTCCTCACGAGTAGTATGGGCAATGGGGTGGGAGAAAGGACTGCAGTTCTATGCTTGGAGTGGTTGGGACCCCCCCTAAACATTCCAAAAGAGTTTGCCTTCTGGACCATCCCCTGCTTCAGCTCTGATTTCGCACTAGTCATACCAGTTGTCAAAACTGCAGGCCACATCAAATGGATTGGCATCTGGGATGTCTCGGTGTCCATCGTCGCCACATGTGCACCTCAAGATGTCAATCATCCAGTCATCCAAGCTTTTCACGGGTCAAAAGAAGTCAATCGCAGCTGGCGCTCCGGATGCTCCGCGCTGGGAGATTCACGGACCGAGCACTTGCTGGGCAGCTCAGGGTAGTTTGAGACCTTAGCTGCAGCACCCCAAACACCAGGAGCATGGATCCATGAAAAAGCTTGCAGCATGTCCTGCACATTGCATAGCCGATGGTAGATAGAGGGAGGTGATCTCTTCAATGTCCGCCACGTTCCCAAATTGAGGAACCACGTGCAAGTGAATTCAGCTGATGATGCATAACTTACAAAAAATCATGCATTATGACAAGAAGGCAGCAACCTGGTTATCCCATTAAATCCAGCACATCTCTCTTCCGACCAGTCCGGACTCTTTCGGATTTCGTTGATGGATCCACACCCAAGTCGAAGCAGTGACCAAAAAAGAACTCCCATAGACGTAGGAGCAAGGACGCTACTAGGGGCTCCTGGCATCGCTACTAGGAGCAAAGAAGCTACCAGGAGCTCCTGGCCTTACTACTAGGAAAAAGGACGCTACTAGGGGCAAAGGCGCCGCGCCCCGCCCAATGGCCCGCCCGCTTGGGGCCAGCGGACCCTTTTGTCCGCCGCCAGCGGACCCATAAAACAAGGCACCCAACGTGGATCCACGTCGATCCCAAGCTCTTTGAGCGCCGCTTGGCATTCCGAAACCGATTTGATTTCCAGCTCTGGGGGGCATCCGGCAGTACCTGGCCGACCGGTGCGGTGATGGTGGCTCACCCACATCACGCAAGTGGATCCATACAAAGCGGCAAAGTGTTAGGGAGTTGGAAGCATTCCCGCCTAGCTCAAGGCACAAGTATTTCAGTGTATTTCAGCCTCAACCCTCAAACTTAGCAGGTCAAACAATAAAATTGACGATAAAAATGTGGGAAAATGCCGTATTATATTATGAGCTGGACAGTCTGTGTGCTGCAGGCTAAGTCTCCAAGCAGTTCTCTATGCCTATGTTTCCATTGTGTTTTGTGGTTGAAGTCTTCATGCCCGCAAGCAATGTTACCGCGCCAGCATGTCCAACGATTTGGCACCTGGTGCTAAGACTTCATAGCTACTGTCCGGCTCTTCCAGAACAGCTTCTGGCTCGGGCACCTCGACCTGCGAAGAAAACCACCCATGATCGCCCAGTCTGGGGCAACATTCAAGTGCAGGCCCTCAACAAACAAGGGCGTTCTTTTGACTGCACACTGCCCACTGAGCTGGCTTGGATCTGGGAAGACCCCTCACAAGTCACAAATAAAGAACATAGAGTTTCCCCAGAAAGGAGCGACACAGCGACACAAGCAGTGGCGCAAAGGTATGCAAAGGTATCATCCCCCACTGCTTGGGTACTGAGCAATCATCGTAAACTGTGGACTGTCAAAGCAGGTGATGAGTCCTGTCCTGCCACGTGGCACTTCCCAGCCAGAATTCAGAAAGGCGAGCCAGCAGCCAATCCTGCTTTGACTCTTGGCTTATTCATGTACATTATGTCACATGTGTTTGTTCATCTTGAGGTTGACAAGTCAAATAATCTAGCCAGTAATTCTTTGCGTGCTCTTGCTCTTGCCTTACCTCGCATCGAGTCAAACGTCCACTTCCTTCAATTTCTAGCCAGCTCATTGTTGCACACATGCGGTCAAAGCGAAGGATGCCACTTAAAAAGCCAACATTGTTTTCCGAGGAATCAGGCGCCCTTGGCAATAGTACAGGTCCATCATGGAGTCCATGGTAGTCTGGTCAAAGGAACTAGTGGGGATGGTGTCCAACAAGACATTTTCTAAAAATATGTTCATTCCGGCACGACATGTGTGATATCACGTTCCAGTATAGCTTTGCCGGACACCATCCCCAGTGTGCAAGCGTGAAGCAGTCTTGTTCTTTCGAAAAAGGGGTTGATCCTCGAGACGACGAAGAAGAAAACAAAGGAAGCTTTTGTGGGGAACTGCCCTTCAACACGCTTTCAGCATTGCAAATGTGGCTGTACGATGATATGCAGTGCGACTTTGAAAGGGAACTTTCCACACTCAACTCCTGGAGAATCCAGCAAAAGGGCTCATTGCTGCAATGTTATCACATTTGTGATGCGGCAGCAGCTGGGCATGTCATCTGGAGCATTGCCCAAATTGCCCGTTAAGTTCTGATCATCCCTGTGTAGTCATGCAAACACCCCAACAGCCCCAACAGTCTCCTGCAGGGCTTGTATCACAAGGCATTGCAAACCTTGAACTGTTGCCTTGAGCCATTACGGTTGATGGGCACTGCTCTTTGCCTCCCCTCTCAGGCGTCAGACTTGCTGCTCTCAAGCTCATAGTGCAAAACCTCCATTTTCAAAACATCCTTGCAGTCCTCCAGCGGCAGCTGACACCAACCACTGTCTCAGTCTGAAGACAATTGAGCGTTTCTGAAAACCTTGATGACATCCCATGTCGTATCATTGGGCTTACGCTTGTGCTTACGCTGCCTTACGCGACTCACATGTTTGCTTACGCGGTACACTTGGAGCAAGAAGGGCTTACGCAGACCTTACGCGACGCCTGTTTTGCACAAAATGCAGCTGACACCACAACACGAGCTTACGCGCTGCATACTTTGTACAATATGGACATTTACTACACCTAATCTTCAGATATGGATGCTGAAGAAGCACTTGAGGATGAGGACGAAGAAGAAGGCTCGAAGGCAGAAGCAACCAAGCAGCAGCAGTAGCAGCAGCAGACTAGCAGCAGACCTGCAGCAGCAGCAGCAGCAGCAGGAAGTGGAGAAGTGGAAGTGGAAGGGCGATGCGCGCAAACGACATTGTATATAGAGGTCTTCAACCACACGCTGCCGCTGACGCAACGGTTTCGGAGAAGGAGGCATGTGGGCTACTGGTGGAACAGGACACCGGAGCCTACGCGGAGCTTACGCGGAGCTTACGCGGAGCTTACGCGCCGGAACTCACAAAAATCACCTGGAGTTTCTCATGTCTGACATGGAGGTTTGACTGTTCAGCTGTGGTGTTTGGACTGTGCGTGTGTTCAGCAATTCGAGCTTGGATTGTGTATGTATGTGTGGAGTTGGACTGTTCCTTAGTCCTAGCACTTCTGAGAGGAGTTGCTCATGTATTTATCATGTATTTATTCAAAGCTTACGCATGGCTTACGCAAAAGGTTTCCTTACAAAAAGCTTACGCAACCTTACGCACGTGCAGGTTTTGCTTACGCACAACTTCGATATGACAACACACTGATTAAACATGAACACGGAGGTTTATCGAATGGCTCAATTGTCATTGTATAATTTGTGCAAACAGGGCTACGCGGCTACGCAAGGAAGTCTGCATCCAAATCATCAAAACCCAGTCCTTAATGCTCACCATGATTTCCTTGTTTTGTGCAAGGTGCACGCTCGGAGAATCAGCCCGTCTGTCCAACCAAATCGTTTTATAGATTGTGCTATACATGGCTCTTTAGTTTGCGAGATGTAACGATTATGGCTTCCCACAGTATTCAATCTGGCCCTGACTGTGCAAACCATATTTGGCGAGTCCGAGTCCAACCTGGTGTAACAGTTGTGTAACCTCCAGCAATCATGGGTTGCCTTTGTCTTGCATGCTGGACAATGCACCAAACAAGGGTAGCAAATCAAGCAAACACACATTCCAAGACAGGGATGTCGCAGTATGCAAACAAGTCTCACCAACCAACTAATCACCACCACAACTTCCCAATCACCGCACGCAACAAAGTACGTAGTCCGTAGCACACGTTTAAAACCACACAACTATAAGAAGTACTATGTTTTTTGATTGTAAGCTACTACTCATCAACAAAACACATGATTCACATGATACATCATTATGCAGTTCTTCAATGGGAAGCCTCATAGAAGCGTCACTCGATACCAAGTGCTCACCATGGGAGCCCCGTGAGAGGCATGTTGCTCTCTCACTCACGTCAATGGCTTGACTACCTCACAATTATATATATATATATATATTTATGTCTCCTAGTCTCTCTACAGCGCTAACTCCCTTTTTCTCAGGAGT